TTAAACACAAATTTTTAGGCGTATGCGCTATGTCTCCTAGGATATAAATTTAACGTACTCAGCGATGGCTTTTTGATTCATAAACCAGGATATAAAGAAACTGAATATTTTGGAAACAGGTTGAAGGTTTCACTATCAATGGCAGAAACTATTGAAACAGAATTCGTACCACAGTACAGAAAATTTTACGGAAATAATCCGGCTTGTGTTGTTTAGAAATGGTCTCTTTAATCAAATATATTTTCCGTTATCTTTGTTTTGTTTTCGTATCATTTTGTACATAGGACTGTGCTAATTATTATAAATTAGCGAAAAATGATTAATGGTTAAATTTAGATGTAAGTTTAGCTGCTGTTCTCGTTAAATTTAGAAATTTTTGGTTTTTTATTTAGATGTATTTCCTTCTTTTACAGTTGAAAATTTAGTACAAAGACAAGTAACATGTTTGAATATTTTTATTACTGTCTTTTACCTAAGTAGATAATACTCAACGTAGTCATACATTTTTACTTAATTCAATATTTACGTATTGTACTTTGCAAATAAATGATAAATACAAGCCACTATGTTATTAATTTAGTAAAGTTAATAATAATTTATGTAAGGAACATAGGGGAGGGAATTCAAGAATGATAGGTAAGAGTGATCCAGATTTAAAATTCATTTTCATTCATCTTTTTACTGTAGTGTTATGTGTCTACGAGGTCTGTTCAAAAAGTATCGCGAATTTTCCGGTTACGTATGTTCGATTTTCGATTTTTTTGTGGCGTTATGTTGGTTCTCATGTCTCTCACTTACCTATTCTACGTGTTGTGGCTCGTTTTCGATTTTTGCATATTCTAAAAAATGGATCAAAGAATCTTTATCAAATTTTGCGAGTGTAAAAAACAAAATTAAGTATGCGGACGCATTCCGAATGTTAGCTGTGGCATATGGTGAAGCTACCTTGGACCGAAGAAACGTTTATCGGTGGTACAAAATGTTCCCAGAGGATCGAGAAGATGTGAACGACGAAGTGCATGCAGGACACACGAGCACGTCAACTACAGGCGAAAACATTGATGAAGTGAAGAAAATAGCATTGGTCAATCGAATCACTGTTACAGATGTTGCTGAAAACCTAAACATATCGATTGGCTCCTGCCAAATTCGTACCAAAATTGCTGAATTCCGACCAAAACCAGTATCGCATTAACACCCGCTGTGCTCCATACACACTTTTTTAACAATATTTTTCGAATTTCTCGGCATCCTTTACATCGCAGTATTGTGCATCAAAGTGCCATACCAATCCTCAAGATATCTGCCATCTTGAGTACTGCAAAAGCTGCTTCTCTCCTTCAGGGACCTGTCTTAGTCTGGTTTCTCTTTTTGCCGAAGTCGGCTCTACCCTTCGTTATCCTGTTTTGTCAATAATGTTTCCATTTTATTTAAGGCTATCTGTAATTCCTCATTTGGGTTTAGAGAGTTTTAATGAACTTTAGCTTTTGATGGGTGAGGGTGCCCACTATGAATCAGGAGGTACCCAGACACCATGGTTTTTTGTTGTGCTCGTGTTGAATATGTACAGACAGCATGTGGACGCTGTCCGCATGCCGATGAGATTCAATCCCCGTTTGGTGGTGTCGACAGGAATTTTTGTTTTTCTTGGTTACGTGCTATAACCTAGAAGCTGCGCCATGGTTTCTGTTTGGCAAGTGGATATCCTTAGATACTAGAAAAAAATCCTTGTTGAATTTTATTAAATGCCACCATAAGCGGCAATTTTATACATTAAAGTTCACAAACTGTTTGCACTGTTCAGTTAAAACTGTTGTCTTCGTCGTGCTGATGATATCCAATGAGATCGAAATCGCGATTACTCTTGTCAGCTTTAACAGACCATAAAATTTTTGTACAACTATTTGAATCGAATTTTCCTGAAACCCTTTACGATAAAAAAAGACTTTTTAAATTTTCATTCCCACCAGCTACTAATATTTGTGGATGTGGATAGGGTGATGGTTCTAGTGGTAAAGATGATGAGACGGGCGAAATTAAGACAGAAGTGAATGAAAAATTATCTGTGGAATATTACTGGCCTAGTATTTGCCTAAATAATCCAAGGAAATCACTGAGAACGTTGAACCAGGGCGGAAGGACCCGGAATCGAATGGTCTGAATTTGTAGGTTATGCCGCTGGGTGTCCTTACGAAAAAGGGAAATTAGATGCACCTTCTATAAACAGTTTCACAGATTTAATATCAACTAGATTTTCTCTGACCTCCACTGACATTTTCAGCGTCATACATTTTTGGGAAGATTCATACGAAAATACAATTTTTACCGGGAAGTCGAGTTTTTTTTATCATTCTTCCCTGAACAGTTATGGAAATCGTTTACCTTATACTATAAAAACAATTGTCTACTATCAACGAATATAAACAGTAGACGTGAATCATCACAAAGATTATATGCTACACGTGTCAATATTTTATTATCACCCAGTTTTGATCAGTGACTTCGTTCGCGTAAAATAATTTCAATTGTTTACAATATTATATAATTACTATAGTGAATAAAAAATCTTCTATTCTCTGTAGAATATCGTCGAAATAGGTTCAACAAACTGACAGAATATTTTAAGGGCTTTTTCCATCTTAATTGCACTTAAATAGGCATATGCCAGTTAATCCGATATTAATGATATTGAAAAATAAAAAGAAAATTTTTAATCTGGACAATCGAAAGTAATATATAGCTATTACGTCTTTCTATAGTAGGGACGGATGCTAAAATAGTTCCGACGCATTTGTTGCTCGCGACGAACTACAGTGCAGTGGTGCAGTTATAAACTTAAAAAGACTACGTATTATTAAAGTACATACAAAAGCGTATAAGCATCCAATTGTGAGAAGGTTACTAAAATCTTTTACCTTTTTCTACCACCAGTATTAACTGTAAATGATAAAGCTAAAAAAAGAAACGACTTAACGAAACAGGCTATAATCTATCGATTATTTTTTATTATTATGTATTATCGATGTGCAAAGGATTCAGTATAATCTCTCTTGTAATCTCGAGTGGCAAAACTAGGTTTATTGTACAAAATTCTTTTATACAATTCCAAAAAAGTAGGCGGACTTTTTATTATCATAACATTTGATGTGTAGAATAATATAAATAACAATACCGCTATTTTTTCATAGATGCATATTAAACCGGAAATACACCTGCCCAAAGTTTTGTTTAATTTTTTATTATAAATGACAACCCTTATTTGCGTTTTGTAAATATTTCTACTTAATTAACTCCAGCTTATTCATTCTTCAATGGAAATAACCTTACTGAAATTATACCCAGTATTTGTTTAGGTGGTTTAGCTTTTTCATTTGCTGCTTATAATAATTTTCGCGGTTTCGGTATGTCAATTCTCCTTCATAAAATTATAAAACATCAGACAGACGATTATATCAGCCATACCTCTCACTATCAGAAACAGATAGCAGATAGATTACTATGGCTGTACCTGCGAGTAAGGCAATGCGTAGCCCGTTGAAGTAAAATAGTATAATACGTACAAGAATAAGTGTAAAAGATAATAAATTAGTGCTGGTTGGAAAATAACAGTGAATGCGAAACAACTGACGTACGCTTTATGTCATAAAACAAATAGTAGTAGTGTTAATTACATACGTGCATGATAAGACTGTGTTTTGAATGCACATAATGAAAATGAACTTGCCCCAGCATGCACCAACGAAATTGTTAGTTTTCCTATTGTTTCTTATAATTATGTCTTTGTATTTGCAATTTGGATATTCAACCCGTGCAGTGTTAAGCGAAACTGAAAACATCAAAGAAACTGAAAAGAGTCCTATTGTGGCAATAAATACAGATGCAGAAACAGGCAATAGTGTAATCAGTAAGGACAACTTAACTACTGAATCATATACATTTCAACGAATCAAAGAAATAACCAAATGTCATGATTTACCGAGGCAGCACAACGTAATGCAGTGGGGTCCTTATTGGGTCCTTAATAATTTTGTTGCCGCGANACCTATTCGAAACAGCCAGTTGTTTACGCCATTCACGGTTTCGAGATAAACGAAGGGATGAAACCACCCCTACACAAAAGCGAACTGAGAGAAATATACAGATATACGAATATACACTAATGCAGAACCAGGCAATAGTGTAATCAGTAAGGACAACTTAACTACTGAATCATATATATTTCAACGAATCAAAGAAATAACCAAATGTCATGATTTACCGAGGCAGCACAACGTAATGCAGTGGGGTCCTTATTGGGTCCTTAATAATTTTGTTGCCGCGAAAAGAACGTACAAGTGTGAAGAAAGTGTAACTTTTGCTACTACGGCAACTTACAATTTTTTGGGCAATGTTTTGCCCATTGTGGAAAGTTGGGATGGACCAGTTAGTGTTGCAGTGTACGCCCCAGGTAGTGACTTTAATTTGGCCTTAGAATCCATAGCCTACCTTCGCGAATGTGGAAATCCATTAGTAACCGAAACGGTTTCTTTTCATTTGTTCTTCCAAATGACATATTTTCCAGACAAGGTAAGACACAAAAATTACAGAGGAATCATCATCATCATAAGGTCGTCAGTTCTAAGACTGGTTGGTCACGTACCTCCACTCTTTCATATCCTGAGCTAAATTTCGCATTTCCCTAAAACTAGAACAATCCACATCCTTAACTATTTGCGAACAATAATCTAACCTAGGTCTACCTCTACCCCTCCTAACTCCTGTTTCTGCCTCTAATATGTCTCTGATTAGACCTTCATGCCTGAGAAGGTGTCCTACCAATCTATCTCGCGTATTTTTTATTGACTTCCATAGAGTCCTCTGTTCTCCTATTCTTTCTAATACCTCTTCATTTCTAACCTTTTTTACCCACGTTATCCTCATAATGCGCCTATAACACCACTTTTCGAAGGCTTCTAATCTTTTCCTTTCCGCCGCGCCCACTGTCCATGTTTCGCACCCGTACAACGCCGCGCGCCAAACATACACCTTCTACAAACTTTTTTGAATTTCTAAATTAACCGTTCGCGAGCATAGGAGTGACTTCTTTTTATTAAAGGCGACGCGACCCTGCGCTATCCTCTGATTTATATTGTTACTACTCCTTCCGTCCTGACTTATCTGACTTCCCAGATATCTAAAATCAGCCACTTCTTCTAATTTTTCGCCTCCTATCTTTATATTCGCTCTTTTCGTACTTTTTCTTCCTTTGCATACCAGTATTTTAGTTTTACTTTTTTTTATTTATTTTCATACAGTACTGATCTGTCAGTACCGCTTCCATTTTATTTAAAGCTATCTCTAACTGCTCCTTGCTAGATGCTAATACTGCTGTATCATCTGCATACTAATTTTTTACCCCTGTATATCTATCCCTACAGTTATACTGTCTTTAATGATGTTGATGGCGTCTTCGATGTATAGATTAAAAAGTAGCGGTGACAGTGTGCGTCCCTGTCTGACTCCCTTCCTAATATTTACTTCTGTACGTTGCATCCCTAGCTCTATAACAGAGGAATAATAAACAAAAAAAATTTACGAATAAATTTGCTGGATATGACAATATTTTGAAATAAGGAGGTAGTATAGAATTCGGCAATTTTTCCGCAATGAGTGACAAGTCAAATAATGATAATTATAAGTACAGTTATCATTTCGCCGAATTCAAAAATTCCAGATAAAACCACTAGAGAATTTTTATAAGAATATTTAATGAACGCACAATTGATATTTATATTAATCTGAAAACATTTTTTTTGCCAATAATCAAAATGTATTATTTTTATTCAAACATATTTGAAGATGAAGCTCGATAAGCTTGTCGAGGTAATTACTGATGGTTAGCTCGTTTTGATGTCGTGTACCGCTGAAGTTTTTGATAAAAGAGTAACTGTCCTGCAATGCATTCAATACACTACAACGATATTTTCACGCAAGGTAGCACTCTGATTCAGCTTTTTACCATGATACGGAACACATTGAAAATGTCATCTATAAACCAAACAGCCCAACAACAATACCAAAACTGTTTCATCAAATGAAAGGTCGTGAAAACTTAAAAGTAATTATAGCACGCGACAGCATTAATGTAATGTATATATATGACTTAGTAATTATCGGTTTACATAGATTACTGTTCAATCAAATCACGATAAGCAGAATCTTGATCCGCCAGTAAGTACTTATGTCATATCTTAATATGTATAAAAATCACATATCAGTGTGTCGTACATGCCAATCTCTGAATCCACACAATCGGTTTCAATAAAATTTTGTAAATAAGTATAGTTGATATCAGCCTGAAAGGTAGGATAGGAAAGGTAATATTTTTAATTTTTTCGACAGAAATATTTTCTTTTATAATTTTCAGATTTAAAATCCAAAAACACATGTAACCATAAATGTAAATTTTAACTCTCCTAAACCCCACTCTCCAATATATTTGTAGAAATATAACAGTAACGTTAACAGGGACGTGTAAATATAACGATTTATTAAAAGAAACAAGTTATAAAATGAATAAGATTAACTTAACAGAACATGGAAGCTTTACATGAATGAGCCAAGCCCTCACGACGTCTAACTTTTTCGAGGGTTATTCTTCGACTGCCGATTTCGTCCTTTTTCAAATTGTACAGTACTTAGTACTTCTTGACCGTCCCAGAGGTCTTCTTTAAGCAACGGTAATAAACTTTATGACAGGGTTGCGTCCGAGGACCTGGCTGCTACATGTACATTTTCTTAAATTTAAGTAAATAATTTTTATGACTATAACAACTTAAAATTTAAACATTAAGAACTAACTTATCTAAGTCACGTCTGCATACTACATATTTTAATGCGTTGTCAAGAGCTTTCTATGCGAAAAAGGTTATAATTCATTTTTGAAAGGTTCCCTTAGCGTAAAATTGTCATATAAAGTTATATTTTTCAATTCTGTCGAATGCGAACTGCGTTTACCAATTTATACTATATTATTTGACTTGCGAGTCATTGTGGAAAAATTGACGATTTCTATACCCCTTCTAAAACATAAATGATTGTTATGATTTATTCTTTTTTATAAATTATCTAATACACTGTAAAATCTATAGAGTTTATTATAATGTTAACTCTCGGAATAATTTTCATCATCATCATCATAAGGTCGTCAATCCTAAGACTGGTTGGACACACACCTCCACTCTTTCCTATCCTGCGCTAATCTTCGCATTTCCCTAAAGCTAGAACAACCCATGTCCATAACTATCTGCGAACAGTAATCTATCCATCTCTACTTTTAAATTTTCTTATTTCCCTACTTGCCTCATTGTCCTAACATTCCACGCTCCGACTCGAGAAATATTGCACCTACCCCTATTGCACTTATTGATGACATACCCAGAGGTAGTCCCCGCCCGGACATCCGAATGGGGGACTAGTTTACGTCCGGAGTGCTTTACCCCAGAGGACGTCATCTTTTAATTTTTAACGTACGTTTTACTCGGGATCATAATGTAGTGTTTCCCGTTGCCTTCCACATCGCAGTATTGTGCATCAGAGTGCCATACCGATCCTCGTGATCTCTGCCACCCTGAGTAGTGAAAGTGCTGCTGCCCTCTTTTAGGGACTTGTCTTAGTCCGGTTTCTCTTTAAGAACCCCCCCCCCACTCTGGTTAAACGAAGCCTGTTTTCTTTTTAAACTAAAAATACCCAGATAAGAGGGTGGTACATTCGCTCTATCGGTCTTACGTTCAGATACAATAAATGGTTCATTCTTGTTTCCTCGGTTATTTACTTAGGTATTTACAAATAGCCTAATATAGTTCAGGAGTGGCATTCAGAGTGATAATAACGAAAAAAAGTAAAATAATAAGTACTATTGTTAAAGGTTAAAAATCACGCACATAAAATTGATTAACGTTTTTTTTTTCATCTGTGTTTTGTATTTAGTGTTTATTTTGTTTCACTGTAATTTTTAACAGCTTCACCAAATCAAATTTGTGTCTTGCACAATTAATCAATGAAACAAAATATAA